AACCCAAAAAGGCCCCTACGGCAAACGGCTGAGAGTCTGAATGCAGAGAAAGAAACCAAAAATACAAATTCTATATTACATACAATGGGAAAGGTGGCTGAGAAGGGGCGGCGCGGGCCGCCGCGGGGCCGCGCCGCCCGGCCCGGGGCCGCTCCTGCCCGGCGGCTCCTCCGGCGTCGTCGCCGCGCTGGGATTTTTCCTCTCGTCCGGAAGCGAGCGGGGAGGGCGCGCGGGGGGCGCTCAGTTGGCGCCCCAGCTGTAGCTGTTGTAGGCGGACTTGTTGGCCTGGGATTTCTGGGGGATGGAGCTGCCTTGGCTGCGCTGGCCGGAGCCGCTCTGCGGGGACGGGACGAGGAGGAGGAAGGGGGGACACAGAGGGAAGAAAGGGGGAGAGCGCAGGGTTAGGGCGAGGGCCGGGGGCGCGCGGGGCCGTGTGTCCGTGCGGCTGTGTGTGCTGCTCGTCCTCAGTGCGGGCCTGGCCGGAGCGCGGCGGCACGCGGGCGGGGGGCTGCGGGAGCCTGGGGGGGCCCTAGCGCCGGGGAGAGACCCCCGGGCGAGCGCAAGGCGTGAGCGGAGAGGTTCATTACCTGGTCTTCCTGCTGGCGCTGGCAGCACAGTATCATCTGCAAATATGGAAGCTGTTGCAGTACCGGGATATGTAAAAATAAAGGGACAAACTATGACAGTAGAAATCCACGGTTAGACCTGCACGCTACGGCGGGCTCGTGGCGGGGTCGCCCCCGTGCTGCCGGGCTGCGCCGAGGGGCGCGAGCCGAGCCCCCCCCCAGCCGCGTGCACCCCGCGCCTGCCTCGCCTCCGGCTCTTGCAGAGAGGCCCTGTGTGTGTATGTGCAGGTTGTGAGCGTGTCGCCGCGTGTCACCGTGTGTCACCGCGTGTGCGGGCGTGACGGAGGGAAGGGAAGGGGCGCCGGGGCAGCGAGAGCCCTAGGAAAGACCCAGCAAGGGCTTGGGGGGCTTGGGGGGCGCCTACCTGCCCRTCCTGCTGCAGGTGGTGGTGGAGGATCTGCGAGTGGGGCTGCTGATGCGGCGTCAGGATGTGCATGAAGGGCGTGGGGGGGTAGGCGGCGGCCGTGGCGGGGTTCAGGGGGCCCCCGCTGCCCAGCGCCGAGGGCAGGTTGAAGGAGGCCGCCGGCGTTCCAGTGTGAAAGCCCTGCTTCTCGAAGGACTGCTGCTGGGAGAGGGCGGCGAGGGCGTGAGCGCCGGGGCCGCGCTGCCCGGCCCCTTCGCGGGGCGACGGGCCACGGCACGGAGGAGCCGCGGGGTGCCCAGGATGGAGCGACCTGCACCCACCACCCTCCCCATCCCGGGGATTCGGGAGCGCGGCCGAGCTGGCGAAGGCGGCACGTTYGGCCCTGCAGCCCCCCATGTGGCCGCTCCGAGGGGAGGGAGCCCCACGGTGCGTGCAGAGCCGCCTTCCCGCTCCCCAGAAAGCGGCCCCTTCCCAAGGCGCTAACCTGAGTTTTGGAGTAGACGGAGCCCGAGATGTCCGGCACCCCCGTGTTACTGGATGTCACGGATACACCTGGGGGAGGAAACAYGGAGGAGCCGTGAGGAAACGGGCAGCAGCCTCCAGCAGCAGCGAGGAGCCCTAAGGGCCTGGCAGGTTTGGGACAGGCCAAGTGTCAACGTGCCCACGTGTGTGTGTGGAGGTTCCCTCGGGCTGACAATGGCACAAACACCTCCAGGAACAGGCGCGCGCGCCTGTTAACACCCAGGGAAACGCAGGTTCTTGGCAAAGAGAGAGCAGCGGCTCAGAGGAGACGCAGCGGGGAGGCAACGACACCGTCCTCCAGCCCAGCGTGGTGGCACCAAGGGCTCATGGGCTCCTGGGCCACAAGYAAGGGAATTCCATGTGAAGGTGACGTGGATCCGTAGGTCGGCACGGCACAGGCGCCATGCCTGACAGTGGCACGGTGCRGAAAGACTCGGTGTTTGGTGTCTCGGGAAGATGATCCCAGTAACTGAGCACAGAGGGAGGAATCTTTGCGAAGAGAAAACCCAGTCCCCAAAGGCTGCAGYGAAAAGCCACGACAGGAGCCTAAAGGTTGGAAGCAGGACATCAAGGTCCCTTTCTAAAAACCAAATATTAACCAACAAGCCCCAATAGCAGGAGAAGCAGCAGGTTCACAGCCTTGGCATCTCTGAATTAAGAGATTTGCTAGAAAACATGTGTCTGCCCAGCAAGCCACACAGCCAAGTTCCCAGACTGGAATATGAAATGCTTTTTTATCTATACGTAACATACAGCTGTCAAAGATGCAACTGCTTGTTCTAAACTCCAACGTGACACAAATGTGCAAGGCCTCAGCCCTCCAACAGGGCTTCTCCGAGGGCGCGAAGCTCTCCGCACTCCTCCAATCTACCTCCTGCTAAAGGCAGGACAAACCCGGGCCTTGTGGAGAATTTAGCGCCACGGAACTGGTTTTCCCTTGCAACGCATTGCGGCTGCTGCTGGAGGCACGAAGGGAACGCGCGGGCGAGGAGCCGGTGGCGAGAGGCCAGGCCGCTTACCGGTGCTGTAGCCGTGCGAGCCGTAGCCGCTGGGCTGCTGGAAAGCGGTTGCCGACGCGTTGACGCTGACATTCACACCGTGCTGCTTGGAAGAGGTAGGAGCAACCTGCGGGATGCGGAAGAAACGGGAAGGAGCCGTGAGGAAACGGGCAGCAGCCTCCAGCAGCAGCGAGGAGCCCTAGGGGACTGGCTGGCATGGGGATCGGGCTCTTCTGAGCGCACAGCGGGATGGGCCAAGTGCCCACGTGTGTGTGTGTGTGTGTGTGTGTGTGTGTGTGTGTGTGTGTGTGTGTGTGTAGGTTCCTCAGGAACAGGACAACAGCACAAACACCTCCACAAACTCCCCGCCCTGCCGAGCTGGCCCTGCTCCCAGCCCCGCGCACACTCACAGGGAACACGGCGGGCCCGTACTGGAAGGTGCTGGGCAGCCCCGGGACCCCTGTGTAGTAGGGCAGGCTGGTGTAGCTGTAGCCGGGCGGCAGCGCCGGGTTCAGGAAGGTCTGCTGCGTCGTGTGGTGGCTCTGCGTCTGGCTCTGCTGCGGCTGYGCCAGCGTGGTGGCGGGCGCGGGCGACGACGCATCGCCCCGGCCGAACTTCGTCAGGTCACCTGGGGCGCACGACAAGGGGGCAGAGTTGGGGACCAACACGCAGCCGGCCTCTACAGCCCTCCCCAGAGCCCCAGCAACACCGCGAACAACTCGCACCACAGCCAGGCCAGAGCGGCTGTGCAACAGCCCTCGCGGAGGGCAAGAACCCAGCTGAACGTTCGTGAACGGCCTCCTTCCCGTCAGGCTGCCCACGCCTCCCTCCTCTTTGCACTGGGGCATCAAATCAAACGCTCTGCAGAGGCCCCGGAGCCCTCGGGGAATATCCGGAGGCTTTGCCGGTGGCCCGGGCACCGCGCGAGGCTGCGGCAGCCTCCGCTCACCCCTCCTTACGAGCACCCGCTCGGCTCCTTCACTCCAACGCTCTCCCTACGCGGGCCCACACAGTAACGCAGCGAGTTCCTCGATGCTGCTCCACTGGCAAGCCCAGGGTAGCTACAAGCACTAATTAGTGCCCGAGTTAATTTGGCACGTGACGAATGCGACGGGCCGTTACGGATGCAGCCCCGGGGTCCCGACCTCGGCGCGCAGCACAAGGGCACTCTGGTGCTACCGTGTTCCCGCTGAGGAAAACAGGGAAAAYGCAATGCTGGAAAAGCAGCAAAGCGCAGACTGCAGCAATTCCTGAAGGAAACGATTCCTGGAAAAGGAAACGATTCCTGCAGRAAAGCTCAGAGCAGCTGCTGCTCACAGGTTGCAGGGCTTCCCTCTGTGAACCGGCAGCTGGGAGGCAGCGGCCAGAGTCAATAAAAAGTCACTCCCTGGGCTTCCGAATCCAATTTGACAAAAATCCTAAAGGTCCTGCTTGCTTTAACCATGCTGCAGCTTTAGAAACTGAATTTATCCAGATACTCAGCAGGGATTTTACATCTATTTACGTTTTACGCCTGCAGAGCAGTGCTCGCAGCTCATCTCCCATCTCACCCACACCGTTCGGCTCGTGCATTTTCCCCATTCTTCCTCAATTCCTTCCCCGCCACTGCGGCAACTCCCACTTGTCCGCATCTTTCTGGCAAGGTGCCTAGGCATGACCAGGCAGATCCAAGACCTAACACTTGAGAAAAGCCCCCCCCGACTAAACCAAGCACAGAAAGCTGCTGCAGACAATTCCATACATCATCGGGACAACCCTTACCAGAGTATGGATTGCTGCTCAGGCTGCCGTCTCTTCCAGTCAGCGGGGTGGTGGGTGTAGGGAATGGGATGCTGTAGTAATCCTGAAGGATAAAAAAAAACCCATAAGAACCAGTTCTATAAGCTCTATGCACGCATGCCAAGGTGTGTCTTTGAGAAAACAAGCTTTTCTGGGATTTCTGCTGTGTTGGAGCACTGCAGCTCAATCAGGCACGTCAAGGCTGACGAGAGCTTGCACAAACTCCCCGTTTCTGTCGCATGCACCATCCCCCTCGTCCAGCTACCAGAGGAACCAGACAAGGTCTACTGGTGTGCGGGCCTGGCAGCGCCCCGACCCTCCCCAGCACGTCACAACACAGGGGACACACGTCACCCCCCTAAAGGAAAATCAGTTCTAAGGGTGTTTAGTCTCTCTCAAGAGAGAGGAAAACACGTGCAAGGACCCCTTAGAGCAGTGTCACACACCCCAGCCGGGCTAGTGAGCTCCTATGCTCCCTAGCTCCACTGTAGGCAGGAGCAATTAGTGCTGCTAATTGCCAAGGGCAAAGGAGCAGCTGATCGAACTCAGCGCCGTGCCTGAGGCCGCGTAGCCTTTGAGCATCCCCATGTTGCCAGCTCTTCAGGACTACTTCCCAGCAAGGCATGACTCGACACCCAAAGCGGGTGGCTCAAGGTGGCTGCTAGAGCGCCCATGCCCATCTCCAGTACTCACCAATGGGAATCTCGTCTGGAGCATTTGCAAGTCATCGTATCCATACACCTGTGGCTAGAAAAAGAGCGGGAGCTGAGGTGAGGAACACAGACTATGAACACTGAGATCACACTGTGCAGCCCCAGGCTCGAAGGCAGTTGCCTCCCTTGCTCTGGGAGCAACTTTCACGGGCCATACCCCAAGAAACGTATGGGCCATACCCTCACCAAGGGCTGCTGCTCCCCAGCATGTGGGGAAGGTCACACAGAAGGGACAAGCCAAGCCCTGCTCTGGAGGGCAGCATTTCAGACGTGTCCCCAAGGGCCCGGCGAGTTCTCGTGTTCTAGGGCAGGCAGGACACCCCAACTCTTCACGCAGGGCAGCCCTATTTGGGCTAATATTTGGGCAGGGCAGCCCTACTATTTGGCTAATAAAACATTCCTCTTAGAAGGCGGAATGGTGTTAAATCTGTTTGAGCGTGTCTGGTGTCAGCTTTGGCTCCCCTGGCCCGCTCCATCCCTCCCTCCCAGCTCCCGACAGCGCTGGGAGCACTCGGAGAGGTGCTGTACCCCCGGGAAGGGCCGGCGGGCGCCCCACTCACCGGATAGGCATGGAGCAACCCTGGAGCCATGATGTAGGGATTAGGCAACAACGGTGGGACTCCAGGGGGGAGATTGGGAGGGGCTTTTCCTGAAGGGAGGGAAACGTTCCACAGTGAAATCAACCTTCCTCGAGTCCCTGCAGCCTCCTCCTCCTCCCRAGCAGGCCCCAGCAAAGCACCTGATGTCGTCGCGACGGAGCTGCGCGTTGAGGCCGTCACCGTGGAGTTGCTGCTGAGGCTGAGGCCCAGGCTGCTGACGCTGCTGAGGCTGGAGGAGACGCTGACGGCCGGCGGCGCCGCCGACACCGAGCTCGAGGAGGTGGAGAAAGTGCTAGCAGAGGAATGGAGGCTCGCGTCGCTCTCCACACTCGTGTGCTAGGGGAGGAGCAGAGAGATTCGGGYGTGAGGCTGGCGGGACCTCGCCAAGGGGACTGCAAAACACGGCTCCCATTGCTCGGAGCCTTCCATGAGCTCGGCTGCTGCAGGCACCAAGAAACCTGCTTTGCACTGGGCTGAAGCCCAAAGGCCTGCGAGCAGCCAGCCCTAACACTCCCCAAGCTGTTCGCTTCATCCCGACGTGCCTGCTGGCTGCAAGACACAGGACTAAGCRGAGCTGCAGCGGGAGGATTCACCCTGCTGCCCAGGACTAAGCGGAGCCGCAGCGGGAGGATTCACCCTGCTGCCCAGGACTAAGCGGAGCYGCAGCGGGAGGATTCACCCTGCTGCCCAGGACTAAGCGGAGCTGCAGCGGGAGGATTCACCCTGCTGCCCAGGACTAAGCGGAGCTGCAGCGGGAGGATTCACCCTGCTGCCCAGGACTAAGCGGAGCTGCAGCGGGAGGATTCACCCTGCTGCCCAGGACTAAGCGGAGCTGCAGCGGGAGGATTCACCCTGCTGCCSAGGACTAAGCGGAGCTACCTCTAAGTGTGAAACAGGCTGCATGTCAAAGTCTCAAGCCAGCACAGCGGCGTTTTGAAGCAGTCCTTGCTCCTCTCTGCACGCCAAGTCCCCTGTGACACCCCGGCACTAAGTGGCAGTCTTGAGTGTGACAGGAGGCACTTGCCAAGGAGCAGCCCGGCCACTCCTGTCACCACTGCTGCTGCAGAGCCCTGCCAGCTGCGTGCCCAGGCTCCAGGGGCACCGAGAGCCCTCTGAGCTGAGCAAGGGGCGGACAGAGACACCCGGACCCACCAGAAGAGTTGAAGTCGATGTTCGCCCGGAGGATGTAGATGAGGACAGGCTGTTCTGTTGGGTGGGTAGTGTACTGTGGAAGAGGGCAGAAGAGCACCATTAGTTCAGAGAATCACAGAATACTTAGGGTTGGAAGGGACCTCTAGAGATCATCTAGYCCACCCCCCTGCACACRCAGGGTCACCCAGAGCATGTGGCACAGRCTGCATCCAAGCAGGTTTCGAAGATCTCCAGAGAAGGAGACTCCACAGCCTCCCTGGGCAGCCTGTGCCAGGGTCCTGTCACCCTCACGGTTAGAAATCTGTCCTCAAGTTCCCGAGGACCTCTTGGCGCTTCAATTTGTGGTCGTTTCCCCTAGTCCTATCAGCGGCCACCACTGAAGAGGCCGCCCCGCTCCCTCCCTTGAGGTATTTACAGCCACTGCTCAGCCTCCTCCCGTGCAGGCTGCACGGCCCCAGCTCCCTCCCCTTCCCCAGAGGGGCAGCCCCCTGGGGACCCCCAGGTGGGACCCACCTGCTGAGCGGCGCCGCGGAGCTGCTGGGCAGCTCCTCRCCGTGGCTCAGGCCGCCCAGCGCTGCCGAGTGCTGGCCGGCCGTGCTCAGCAGCGAGGAGGCCGACACGCCGTCGCCGAGAGGCGCCATGCTGCCAGCAGACGGCGATTCCGACTTCACCGCGGGGCCTGGAGCACCTGCGCAGGAGGTCTTGGGTTAGGGGCAACCAAAGGCAGCTCGCGGAGGAGGATTCRGGGGGACAGAGGAGCACTAGTGGAGCTGGGAGACATGGAGCTCCCATCACTGCTGCCAGCTGTGGCTGTGGTGCCACCACCACTGGGTTTGCAAAGAGCTCCAGGATCTGTGAAGGAGAGGMCTTTCACAGCCAAAATCTCAGCAGAGTCACCAGGGAGATGACACCAAAGCAGCTCATCACGGCTCTCGTGAATCTACCAGCAGGAAGCTGATCGCTTCCAAGGAGGCAAATCAAGTTAGTGGCAGCAGCCAGGAACAGCACTTGCCATTAGCCCAGATGAAGCTTTTCTCTCAAAGCAAAGAGCCAGGAAAACAGGGGACTTGGCCACAGACACTCACCTTCAACGGCCTGCGTGTTTTGCAATGGCGTGGATTGTACGGAACTGAAACCATTCTAAGAGAGGGGAAAAAAGGAAACAGATTTGGACGTTGCAGCTGCTCCTTTCCAGAGRCACACTTGTCAAACACCGAGCCATTTTCCTACCTTGGCCTGGGTCAGATCTTTCTGGGGGGAGGAAGAGATGGAATTTGGATACCGCCTGGTTTGTGTGGCTCTCTGTTCGTACAGTGGTCCCTGAGCGCTGTTCTGGGAGGTAAACGTTGCTGTCTGTATCGTGCCGCTCTGGTAACCAGACTCCTGGCTTTGATTGGATGAAATTGTAGACGAAGATTCGCTGGAAAAGAAAGAAAGGGAAAAAAAAAAAAAAAAAAGAAGCATTTTCACTTTTCCCAAAGCAGCAAAGCCCACAAGCGCTTCGCCTGGGAGGAAGAGCAGTCGTGCTGTGGATTCACCCTGGGCAATCTCAGCCAAAGGTTTAACATGAAACATTTGTGTCCTGTGCGAGCACCGCAGGCCAAGCAGCCACAGATCTGCCTGAACGAGTCCGCTGGCCACTCCGGCTTTGCTCTTGCATACAACTGTCCCCCCTTTATGACCACGGGCACAGTCAGAAAGGGTCTACTGGTATGCGGCAGTGCTATTACCCCACGGAGAAGCCTCCTTCCRAAGCGACCGCTACGGAACAAGCCCATCTCAGTGAACCGCTCCCTCCCGGTCCACGGCTCAGGCACGCCGGATTCCGATCCCAGTTCCTCGTTCCTGGTCCTCACCTCGCAGTGCTGGTGTACAGGCTGCTTTGGGACTGACTGACGGCGGCGCTCGTCGTGGGCGGCGCGTCGTACTCCGAGAGAACAGGCTCCGAGCCAAACTGTAACGCCCCGAACTGCAGGTTTAGCCCTGAGATATCTGCCGAGCCGGGCATTTCCACTGCAAGAGCAGGAATCTGCAAGGGAGGGAGAAGGCACAAGGTCAGCCCCCTCTCTGCAGGAGAGCAAGAGAAAAACCCACTTCAAACGAGGGCAGGCCAAATCGGGCAGAGAATTTAGCACAGAYACAGGTGGGCTCTGATGTCAAGCCAGAACACGCGTCTCCCTCCGCTGCATGGGAGCCCAAAGCCCTCAAAACAGGCCGAGCTCCTCAAAAATAACCTAAGCATCCTCATTTCCCACATGACGGTAGCTACAGGCTTTGCATCCTCTGAACTAGTCTGTCTCTGCTCAGCTCAGGAGCTTAAGCCCTGCTCTCTGCACCCCAAAACCCAGTTCTAACAGCAGAAAAGCCAAGTTCGAGCCGCACCTTTGATGTCAGCGACGCTTTCTTCTTTTGCTGCTTCAGCTTCTGCTGTGCTGGCTGGGGACTGGACGACTGGTTGTCCGAGGAGCCTGGGGACATCTGGGGAGCGGCGTTGGCTTTGCTGGGCAGCGGCGAGGAAGGGGGGGCCGGCACCGTCGCCGACGCCGTCACCACGGGCTGCTTCTCCTGCATAAACACCTCTATCATGGTGGAGGCTGACGTGAAGGCCGGCCGCTTGGCGAAGGGACTGTGCACGGAAGAGTCTGTCGGGTTCTTGAGATCTACCAGAGGAGAGAGGCATCAGGATTTTTCCCTCTCCTTCAAATTTAAAAAAATTCCCGAGCATCCAGAGAAACKCGTCACCCCAAGCGTTCTCCTGGTGCCTGCTAAAACCAGACCTTGGGGAGCAGAATTCCCAGCTCACATGTGTCACTGAACCATGTCAGGCTGATGCTTTGGCATGACCCCACATCCCACTCCCAGCCTGGCACTCCGGCTGCCACCCGAAGCCTTTCAACCCCTTCTCCTATCAGCTCCTTCCACCCTCTCCACAGGGCRGGCCGAGCTTGGTCAGCGGCAGCTCCTCGCCATCCTCCTCCTTTCTGGAGCTCGGTCGCCCGCGCCGCGAGGCCGCAGCGCTCCTCCTCACCGTACTGCACGAGCGCCGAGGGCTGCGCCGCGGACGCCAGGTCCCAGGAGGACGCAGGGCTGCTCCCCGCGGGCTGGCTGTGCTGAGCCGCCAGCTGCGCCAGCGCCTGCGCCGTCTTGAACTGCTCCAGGAACTGCGAGCCCGTGGTGCTGCTGCTGCCCTTGGCCTCGCCGACGTCRCCGAAGCCTTTCCCCAACATGCTCACCTGCGGGCGCAGCGGCCAAAGGACAAAGTCAGGGGCTCCCCCGGCTCGGAGCTTAGTTACGCACTTGGAAACACTCTCCAACGTTCGTTACAGACTGGGTGTAATAGTTAGAAAGTTAACACGAAGGATTTTTACATAGATTCGCACGCATCCCATCAGCGGAACTTGGCTTTGCAGCAGTTAGGACGGTTTTGAACACCCCTCCTGAGCTAGGTTACCATTAAACACGTTTGTTTKGCTGAAGTTGTACGAAGAAGCATCTGCCTAATTCTGTGCGCATCCCTGTCGCAGATTCCATACCTCCTTTCTCCATCCTTCAGTGCGGAGCCTCTAGCATTTTATCCCCTACCAAACTCCCAACCAGTCCCACCTCTCACAAACCACGGAATTTTCAAGCCTCATTTTAACCCCACACGTTACAAGTCCGACAAGGACAAGAGGGGAGGAATTTGGCCTGAGCAAGGACGTAGCAGGAACCAAGGGCCCAAAGCCCGCGGCACTGGCAGCATTTTCCTTACCATGCTGTGGTGAGAGAAGGTGTTCCCGGCGGCCGGCTGGGATAGAGCGCTCTGCTTGGAATTGCTGAACACCAGCGGCTGCGCCAGGGAGGGAGCCTGGGAAGCCTCCAGGTTCGTTGCCTCGCTCTCCAGGGAAGAGGGCGTCTTTCCCAGCAGCACTGCAAGATCAATCCTGGGTGAAGAGGGGGGATACGCAGGGGTTAACGCAGGCACTGGCTTGGCTTGCACCACAGCACTGCTCCAGCTGCAGCCTCCCAGCTGGCACCTTCTGCCTTACAGAACCTTAGAGCTTTATGGAGTCTGGGGGACACTGTCACAACTGCCACCAGCAACCTCAGCAGAACAAGGACTGAGCAAGATCCTACAGGGTAGCGCATTTCCATCCATAAAAAGTGCATTTTAACACAGAAAACTGCTCCAAACTTGCTTCCCCTAATAAATCTGAAGAACCAGTGGCAAAGCCCAGAACAAAATCCAAATCTAGTATTTAAACCCATACTGGTTTACTCACAACTCCTGCATTTCACCTAACTGACAAGGGTTAAGGGGGAAGGTGACTTTTGTGTCACTTTTSCCAGGCAAACAGATATCGCCCCGGGCTGTCACCTTTGTCCTGCCGTGATTGTCACATTCTCTGTAGGCAGAGGCACTGAAGACACATTGGAGGCCGTGAAGATCTTTGTCTCCGAAAGCTGCAAGACAAAAGAGGGGAAAGGGATCCAAAGGTAAGAGCAGGGCTTGGGACATCAACTGTAGCATGGGGGTTGGAGACAAACAGCCCGGAAGGATTCAAGCAACAGAGCTCGGGTTTAACTACTCCCACAAGAGCCAGCTTTTATTTCGTTGGTTTCCCAAGTGCACAAATCATCTACCAGTCTCCAAAATAACATCCCTTCCATGGATTTCTAGCAGTTCACAGACCCACCAGGGCTGCTGGACCCTTCCAGACACACCAGAGGAGATGCTCCAGATTCGGGGCAGGCAGCACCCATCTGCCAAACCCCTGAAAACACTGCTGGAGATGCCAAAAATCAAAAGCTTCGGCTGATATTTGAGCTTTTAAGGAGCCCGTTATCACCGAGGYGATTTGAAACAAACAATTCAGTTCAACAGCAGAGGGGGAAACAACAAAGAGCCAAGGGGAGCTTTAACAACCACCTGTGTTTTAACCAAGAACACATCCCATTCCAAAGCAAGGAGCTGCCAAGCAACTGGACTGCAATGGTCAAAACAAACCAGAACAGCTAAAACCTGCCCAGCTTGGAGGAACTTCAGGGCACCCTGCACTGCAGGAAACCTTGGGATGATGGAAACCCTCTCCTGGCTGCATAGGTACAAGCAGGACACGGCCCTGCCGGCGTTCAGAGGCTGCTTACATCTTCATTCCAGTCCTCCGTGCCCCATTCTTCCGTCGCTGCCCTCCACGCACCTGGAAGGAGAAGAGCAAGGGAAATTAGCTGTGTGGCAAAGATTTGCAAAGAATAAGAAGAAAACAGAAAGCCAAAGAGCCAGGGGAGCACTGGGGAGCTTTGCGAGCAGCTGGGGGGAGTTTTATTTGCCAACCAGAGAGGAGGAAGCAGCAGCCCCAGCGCAAGATCCCTCCTGTAAAACCCAAAAAGCTCAAAAAAAAAAACCCAAAAAAGCTCCACAAAAAAACCCCAAAGCTTTTTTTTTTTTTTTTTTTTTTTTAGATTGATAGAAAGTTTTTTATTTGTTGTTTTTTCTTTTTATCATCCTAAAATGGACACTGAAACCCCAAAGCTTTTTTTTTTTTTTTTTTTTTGGAAAAAAAGAAAAAGCTCCAAGGATAGCTCAACCATCCAAGTGCTTTGTGTTTTTTTTCCAGGAGCTGTAATCTCACTGCACCGCGAATTCCTATGTGAAGCAGGAGCTGAAAAGAGAATTTATAGGCTCAACTGATCTGGGAATGTCTGGGCCYCGTTTTGGACATGCACAAAGCTTAAAATATCAGTAGGAAATGCACAAGATTTTCAGCCACGTCCTATCGCAGTGCAGCTTGTAAGACAGCAAAATTCACTTTAAAATGGCTTGTTTTCTGACTATGTCTTCTTTGAGCAGTTCAGTCCCTCACCTGCACCCCAGTTTAACCTCAGGACTTTGAATTCCCCATGTTGACTGCAAGTCCCACTGGATAACTTCACATTTGGCGTGCAAAGAGAGCAGGAATTTTACATCCAAAGATATTCCAGCACAAAAATACCCCCATTTTTCCTATCAGCCCATACAAAGCTGGAATAAAACCCCAAAGCCGATCGAGCTGAGGGGGTTAATTCCACAGGTGTTTGCAAGGAGAGGATAAGTCGGCTCCAGCAGGAGGGATCATCCCATGGGTTCTCTTGGCTTCCAAGAGAGAAGCAGAGAAAAGCAGGGAAGAAAAGACGCAGGCGCAGCTTTGTCCCTGAGCATCCTGGTTATGGTCACACACGTTAAAGCAGAACGTGACCGAGGTGCCCAACGCTCCCTGCCTTGTTGGATGCTCTGTGCTCTGGACATGGGGCTGCTAGGGGTGCTGATAAGCAGCGGCTCAAGTCCAAATCTCCACCGCTTCCCAAGATCCATTCAAGGTGTCAGCATTAGTAGAAGCACAGTCAGAGCGAACGTCAAATAGTCGTTAACGCAAACAAGTTAGGAGCAAGAAGAACGACATATCCACAGATATTTCTTTCTTTTTTTTTTAAAAAAAGCTATAAAGGGATCCGGGGCAGTTAGTGCACCTGGATATATCGTACCAGGAGCAGTGTCAAATTTTCGGGGATAATTTGACCCCTCACCCCCAATGAAATCAAGTCCTGAAACAAAAAAAAACAAGAGAGACAGACAAGCAGTGAAATTTTGGCTCAAGTCAAGGCGAGTTTCATTGCCCCCATGGCCAGCAGCCACGTTGTACCTGTGGATATTGTWAAAGAGATGCTTGAGGCTACTCAAATGGAAACGCAGCGACCATGCACGGCGCTCAACAGGATAAATCACGGGTGTTCTGCGGCACTAGAGCTAATTCGGACGGTTCCATCAGCAAAAAACAAGCCTGTGTTTCACCCCAGCCGGTACTTATGCTGCTTTATGGAGCTGCAGAGCTCACACACATCCAGAAGCCSGTATGGAATAACCTCCCAGCACCTGGAGCTCGCTCATTCCCATYCCCTTTTCCTGCACTAACAGCCCCACTGCCCTTGGCCAACACATCTACGCTGGTCGCCCCATATTCCAAAGGCTCCAGTTTTCAAAGTCACCAAAAAGCTCTCTGCTTTGTGAAGAATAAAGCCTATATGGCCAGTGCRCAGTATAGGGCATTATTGCTTAGAAGTATTTGCAAGTTAGATGTAAAAAGTCTTCTGCTGGGTTATTGTGTGCTCACAGATTTACAAGCTGCAGACAAGCTTCACTTCTCCCTTCTTGCAAAGCGATTCACGTTTGCCAGCGTGTGCAAGGAATAGGGAAATGGCTTATTGCCACATTAGTGTGTGGTTGGGAATGCTTCTTAGAACCAAAGCTTGGGATTTGCTTGAAGGCTTAAGAGAATGGGCCGGGGGAAATGGTGACACAGGATTTCTCCAGGGAGAAAGTAAAAAAAAGAAAATGATCCCACCCCAACACTTCACAGAACTGGAAATCTTTTGATTAGAGATTCTCCCACGTCCCACTGTCCAATTATGGCACCACAAAAATCTCAAGCTCGCTTGTGTAACTGTGTGTGTGCTTAGACAACAACAAAAAATTCCACAATATTCCATTTTTCCAATGCAAGAGCAGATGAAYGACCCGTTTCTGGTGCAAACAGGGGAGCAACAACCCCGCTGCTTTTGTGCCAGCTTTCCGTAGGTCTCATCTCCAAGCAGTTGGAGCGAGACCACCAGGAAAGGAAGGAGAAAGTTCCCCCGATGCCAAGGATCAAGGCAACGGTTTRGAGGAACAAAGAGGAGCGGGGAGATGCCTTACTCGTGCCGTCGTCCGGCTCAAAGCTGCCAGTGTTGTTCCACGTGTTGCTGTTGCTGTTCCCGTAGCTCTCCTCCGTGCTGGCTGGCTCAGCGTAGTCGGCCGGGTTGAAGGTTCTGTAGCACAAACACAGGCAAGGGCTGTTTTAAGTCTCTCCCCTCCCAAGCGACTTGGAAAGCTACTGGCTTCATTCAGACCAGGACAGAGCAAGAAGATTCCCCGAAGACAGAGCCCTCCTTTAGGAAAGGGAAGGACCAGCTACACTAGAAATCCCAAATTTATATTAGCAGGATGTAGCTTTTTGGGTTTTTTCTTTCTTTTTTTTTTTCTTTTTTTTTTTTTTTTTTTTTAAGAACAATGAAATCTCAAAGAATGTTACCCCAGCATCAAGATTTGATTTTTTTGCTGTGTTTTTTGGCAGTGAAACTCACCCCATGCCTTGGGCAGAAAATCTTCCTCCCCGCCTTCCAGAGCCACCTGTAAAACACACACAGGGAGCCCTGAGCACCTGTTTGCTCCGTGGCACTGGAAAAAGAAACGTTAAAACAACGTATGCAGCTCTGMTGTCCAGAATATGAGTGTCAAGGATGCTCCTGAGCTGATGAGATTCCCAGCATCATCTTTATAGGGATGCAATTGGCCTCAGCTGGCTGGTAGTGCAATTAGTGACGCCCGATCCCAGACTCTGATTAGGTTTCCAGCTGCCACAAGTGTAAATATTAGATCCGAGTTTCTGATTTGTGCAGCGTGTCCTCGGCAGCAACTCCTGAGCAGTGCAGGTGTTGGGGGAAAACRAATTTCTGAGGATTTTAAGGCCAAAACAGGCATTTTGCACAGCAGGCCAGGAGTGCAGGTGGATACAGATTCTACCTGGCAATCTGACCACCTGCCAGAGCCACCTCAGCTTTAATCTCCATCCTAACCCTTGCCCTGCAACCCCTCGGTCCTCAAACCCCGCGGGTACCTCGGCCTCGGCCACGACCCCGTCTTCCTCTTTCTGTGCCTCTTCCAGAAGATCCTCCAGTCTTCGCCCCATCCAGCCCGTTCTCCTGGCCCCGAACTGAAAGACAGGACGACGCAGAGACAGATTGAGGCTCGAGGCCACCTTGGCAAGGCYCTAATGCCAACCCCTGAGCACCACAACGCGGCAGCGGCGCAGGACACGGTGCTGCCCGGCACTGCTGCAACTTATTTGGTGGCAGCTGCCGTTCCCGAGGGCATCACCCAGGGAATCCCTTGGGATAGGAGGGCACTCAACGGGCCTCCACACATGCGCGCGAGGGCGATTCGCCTTAAAACCATCTGGCAGCCCAAGGGGCTTCCCTGCTGGCTTCGTGCAGGGCAGAAAGTTGCTATGAAAGGGCAGGTCCATACACTCTCTTCCACGGCTGGCACCTCGCCCCCGCCTCGGCGGCCCGCCACGTCGTCTGCTGAAATCCCGCTCCCTCTCCCGGTTTTCTTTGCTTTCTTCGCTGGCTTCTGTCTGTCCACTGTCCTTCTGTCCCGAGACACCCTTCTTCTTCCCGACCATTTCCCAGGAATGCTGAAGGTTGGCAAAAGGGAAAGCAGTTAATCACACTCTTATCAGTACTASGTGCAGAAGACATTCATATTTAAACATTCTAGGAAATATAAGAAGGGACCATGGAAAAAAAAAAAGGTGTTTCCAGACTGAATTTATTGGAAAAATCCTTGTAAACACCCTCTATAGCTTCCTCTTTTAAGGAAAGCTTTCTTACAGCAGACCTGCAGGCAGTTTGGAGATAGAAGGGATGGAGAGGAGATAAATATATTTATAGGGACTGCAAGTGAAAAAAGGGAATACTTCACTTGGGGCTAAAGGAATCCTAAAATTGGCATCTGTTTAGACTTCAGTTTCAGGGAAGAAATCCCGAGCTTAGTTTGAGTAAGACGGGGCAGTGGAGCAAGAGCAGCAGTTTCCCTGGGCTCTCCCTGCAAACGGTGCGTGGGGCCCGTCAGCCAGCTGGGCACGGAGCACTCGGAAGCGACTTGGGAATTACAGGAGTGGTTCATGGATACGCTGATCACAGGGAGAAAATTAACTCCAAATTTATCCAGCGGGCAGGTTTAACGAGCCCAAGCTCAGCTGTGCAAAGCTAAGCTCACGTTGCTGTCGTTTTGTGAGAGTCTTCAGTTCTTTCACACTTACCAAACCAATGCTACCTACTGCTGGAGCAATTAAAAATAGACACAAGTCACTGACAAACACCCCAAAACACAACGTGCAGACAAGGGAACAGCTGGTTGTGCATGGCACCATGCAGAGATGGTAACAAAACCTGCTTTCAGGTACACGGCGCCTTTCAAACGAAAGGCTTTTGGAGTCTCTCTCCATAGGTATCTGGCTCAGAAGCAAAGTCAGAAAAACATTTGCTTTGAATGCTGTAAAGTGAAGTCAAATCTAACTCAATATTAAGACCACAGCAGCTCCCTTATTGTTTGGAATAGGGTAAATTCCAAGCAACTAGCTGGGCAGGTTCGTTGTTGCCGTTAACACAGGGTATTTGAGCCATTATCACGTTTGTTTCTTAGCACACAATCCGTTTTCCTGGGATTGCTGCGAAGTTCAACCCAGATCAGGAGCAGCTCCGAGACCTTTGCCCAGCTCCAGCGGAGACAACGGCTCCGCTCGGAGCTGCAGGGACAACCCCAGTGCCCCCCAGCACCACGTGGGCTTTGCTCTGCCCAGCAGATTTACAGGAGCCTGTCCTACCGTGTCCGGATTGCCCTCCAGCAGCACGTTGATGGCTCTGTTGACATCCCCGTTGCAATCGTGCAGAGCAATCACACACTCGTCTTGGTTCTTGCCTGTGATGTCGATCAGCTGTAGGGGACAACGTGGTGACACAGTCAACACTTTCCAAACCGCGGCAGCACCAGATCTCTCAGATCTGCTACAAATTTAATCCCAAACCAGCAATCCTACAAAGGAACACCAAGGGCTGACAGTCTCCCCGCTAGCCCCAGCTTAATTACACCCTAGAAGGAAGGCTTAATCCCTAGAACTGAGCCAAACTCACTTGTTTCACCTTCTCCTCAAAGTCAGCGTCGTTGTGGTCCGAAATCATCTGTGCAAGTCGAATCTGTTCGGCGGTGGCCTGAGGGGATCACAGGTAAAAGGAGAGGGAGGCTGGTTAGAGCAGCGCCCTTCCAAGCAACCTTCCTCCGAAGGCCAAGCAGCTTCTCCGGCATCAAAGCGATGGAGAGAGGGAAGGAGGAAAAGGCAGGAGGAAAGGGAGACAGAAGAGGAGCAGTTGGGGGCAGGCAGGAGCGGGAAGCACCGTGACGCCTCCCCGCTGGAGCCAAAACAACCTCGTGCCCTTTCCCGTTTGGAGGAAGAGCTCAGCAGCGYGAGAGCAGCACGGCCAGCTCTGCCGTGCATTAAAACGAGCAGGGAACGACCAGGGAGCAGCAAATAAACAGAGCGAAGGCGCCGGCCGCTGCCCTTACCTGCGGCCGCTGCTTGTGCTGCGTCTGGCTCTGTGTCTGCGTCTGCTCCCAGCTCCCGCGGGCGCGGGTCGTGCCCACCGACGTCATCATTTACAGTATATACAAATAACAGTATTTACAAGGCAGGACGCTGCGGCGGGGCAGGGGAGAAGAGAGAAGAGGCCGTTAGAAACCCCAGCAAAARGCTGCGCCGAGGGGAGCTCTCCGAAGCCAACGGCACCACCCGGCTCCCGCTCCTCACCTACGCAGTGCCGGCGGCCAGGAGCTACGAGCAGGGGCATTTGCCGGGAGGGTTTAATGACTCCCTGCTAAAAGTGATGGTTTAATGACGCCCGCCGGTGGGAACGCTGCAAAAAGCCCCAAGGAAGCTGCTTGGGAAGTCAAACATCCCACTGCCCCAAAGCTCCTGGCGGCACCTCTGCCTGCTCTTCTCTCTCCTTCCCCTGCAAAGTGGGGCAGCGGAGGCAAAAACACTCCAGCAACGGAGCTTGGGGGATGCTGTGAGACCCACGGCTCGGCTGTGCACGTGGGAAGACTCGCTTGTGCTAACCTCAGGCATTAATCAGCTSTAGAAATACAAAATTCACCGTAGAATCCTCCAAACTGAGGGGAAAACGGAGCGGAAAGCGCTAGGAAGCGGAGCAGCTCGCACCAAGAAGAGAAATCGCAACCAGGACTGGTTTTGTGCCACTGTGCTGATGCAAAAGAAGAAATCCCGAGTTCGGGAGGCGGGAATTCCCGCGCTGGGAGTTAAAGCGGGGCTCACAGCAGTGTCTTACCCTGCCTAGGGGCCGCTGAGGACTAAGAAACGCCAGGTCCGTTGGCAGCACCAGGGTTTTAGGAGCCTCGGGGAACCGCGCGACTCCAAAGGCACCGCGTTACGACTCCGTTAACGGGACGCAGGCTGCTCCCGAGCGTGGCGCCGGGACGCGGGATCACCGGGACGGCGCGGAGCGGGACCCGGGGCGCCCGCAGGGAGGCTCAAAGGCGGCTGCGGCAGCAAGGCCCGGAGCAAAGGGGAGGCTGCTTCACAAAGGGGAGGCTCCTTCGCCACGGGGCGAGCGCGGCCGGGGACCCTCCTTTGCCGCTCCGGCACCCCCGGCTCCCTCGCGCTCCCCTTTCCTGCTCCCAGGGCTCCCCACAGAGCCCCCAAGCTCCTCCGCRGGGCAAGTTAAGGAGTTTTCCCGCTCCCTGTCTCCAAATCCTTGCTCCTTCACGAGCCATCGGCGCTGGCGGCCCTTTCCACAAGCGCTACAGCCCGACGTTCCCGGCCCTCGCGCGGYGTCCGACAGCCGCATCGTCCTGCTCCTGCCCCCGCCGCGTTTCCGTGGCCATCAAGTCCTTTCGCTTCGCTCTCCACACCCCAAAACGCAACGGGCAGCTCCCAACGCCGACGCACGCGGAGCCCTGATCCTACAAAGGCCTCCGGAGAAGCGCTCAGAGGGAYGGGGACCCGAGTGTCGCTGCTCAGTGCTTAACTCTGCACCCCACGGGCAGGATTCAGGTGGAAAAATCCTTTATTCCGACCTCCGAGCCGCCCCCGCGTGGGCAGAACCATCTCCTTTGAACAGCTGCCTCAAGCCTGGACTTTTCAAAGCCGGGTTACAGGGAGCCTTGAGAAAACAGAGCAAAGAAAACACACAGCGAGAGGCACACAACAACCCGCGAATCCAGAGAGCCAAAGGGAATTCCTGAAGGAATTGCGCGCGAGAAACCACGTCGCTCCCAGCCGCCTTTTCACATCTCAGGACCACGGCAAATTAGGGGCAATTTGGGGAAAAACGAGCAACCTCGCAGCTCCGGACGACGAGGCTTTCCGCTCCCGGGAATTTGGGAGCGGACTGTCGGCGCCCCCGCGCGCCGCCTGCTCTGCGCGTCCTCGGCACGAGAGGCCCTGGTCTCCGCAGGCCGTGGAGGCTTCAGAAAGAGAGGGAATGCAGAGAGGTGACAAATCGGTTAGTTTTATTAGGAGTTTGCAGGAGTTACAGCGCGAGGGCGGCGCTCCGCGGGCGGCGCTCCGCCGGTCGCGTCCAGCGCGCGCGGCTCCGGCCGCGTCCCGCCGCAGGGCGCCGGGATTCCCGCCCGCCAACCGCAGCGGGGCCCTGGCTCCGCAGAGCGGGCCCGGCCGGGATGCTGATAACGGGGTGCAGGGGGGTTGTTTACCCCAGCGCTCCGAGATAAGGGGCTCAGCCCCCAAGACGCCGCGTTCCGGGGCCGCTGCCGGTGCCCGCGGCTCCGCGGGGATGGAGCGGGAGGAGGTTGCGCGCCCGGAGAACAATACGGCGGGACGGGCCCGGGAAGGAGGAGGA